CATTTGAAGAGCTGAAGTCTTATCTTAGCTCACCGCCTCTGTTGACTAAGGCTGTAGATGGCGAACCTCTTTACTTGTACCTGGGGATTTCAGATGAGGCCATTAGTTCAGTTCTGGTGAGAGAAGAAGCTAGGCAACAGAAACCAATTTATTATATCAGCAGTGTGCTGCATGGAGCAGAGCTAAGGTATCCTATAGCTGAGAAAGCAGCATTAGCAGTCGTCACTTCGGCCAGGAAGTTGAGGCCATATTTCCAATCACACCCAATTATAGTCCTCACCGATCAACCTCTCAGGCAGATTCTGCAGAAACCAGAGTGCTTTGGAAGATTAATTAAGTGGGCAGTAGAATTGGGAGAGTTTGAGATAACATTCCAGCAGAGATCGGCCATCCGAGCTCAAGCATTAGCAAATTTCATTGTCGAATGCACTCCATGCCCTTCAATCTCTAATCCAGAGCCCAACAACTGGACCTTATATGTTGACGGAGCATCTAGTAGCAAGGGTTCAAGGGCTGGCGCTCTCTTGATTGGTCTAGACGGCTACCGAAGCGAACATGCCCTGAAGTTCAATTTCGATGCAACAAATAACATGACTGAATATGAAGCTCTACTACTTGGTCTACAACTCGCACTAGAGTTGAAAATCAGTGCAATTCAAGTATATAGTGACTCTCAGCTGGTGGTGAACCAAATCAACTCTATTTGCAAAGTCGTTGATCCTGTGATGGTAAAGTATGTAGCCTTGGTGGCCAAGCTGAAGTGCAAATTTCAGAAATTCTATCTGAGTAAAATTCCCCGAGCTGAGAATAAACAGGCAGAGTCACTCTCCAAGTTTGCCTCTGATAGCTCTTTAAGCTCCAGATCCGTTTTTGTAGAGGTCTTAGATGAAACAAGCTTCACGAAGCCTCGAGTGATGGAGATTAGCACAAACCCTGACACGTCGAGCTGGACTGATTCAATTGTCTCCTTCTTACGAGATGGGATAGTACTTGAGGACAGGCAGGAAGCAATGAAATTGAGGAAGAAAGCATCTCGGTACACATTTGTTGATGAAGTCCTGTATAAGAGATCTTTCTCACTTCCTCTTCTACGGTGTTTAAACCCCTATGAAGCTGAATATGCACTTCGAGAGGTACATGAAGGTGTCTGTGGGAGCCACGTCGGTGCTAGAACTCTGGCTCACAAAGTCTTAAGACAAGGATACTACTGGCCAAACATGTACAAAGATGCCACTTACTTTGTTCAGAAATGCCCGAAATGTCAATTTTTCGCACACCTGACTCATCAACCAGCAGAATAGCTCACGAACTTGGTAGCGCCGTGGCCATTCGCTCAGTGGGGACTGGATCTTTTAGGCCCATTTGTGAAAGGGGTTGGTGGTGTAACCCATCTGATTGTTGGTGTGGATTATTTCACGAAGTGGGTTGAAGCTCGGCCTTTATCTCGTATTACCTCTAAGAAGGTCGAAGATTTTGTTTTCAGTTCGATCATCTGCAGATATGGGATCCCAAATCAGATTGTGGTTGATAATGGAACTCAATTCAATTGCTCCTCATTTCGAGATTTCTACTCCAGTTATGGAATCAAGTTACAGTTCACCTCCGTTTACCATCCGGAGTCCAATGGCATGGCGGAATCTGTTAACAAATGCATTTTGGAAGGTATAAAGTCGAGATTGGAGCCGCATAAGGCTAAGTGGGCAGACGAGCTCAACAACGTCCTCTGGGCATACAGAACCACGAGCCGAACTGCCACAGGTACTACTTTAAATTGAGTTTATTTGATTAATTTCTATAGTATTTCACTTCTTCTGCCATGCTTTACCTTAAAGCAAATATGCATAATGCATAAAGCGCATCTAAAGTTATAATTAACTGCAATAGGTGAAACACCCTATCACCTGGCCTTTGGTACCGAAGCAGTCATTCCTGTTGAGATAGGAGTCCCAAGCTTCCGGGTCACCCATTTCGATGAAGAACGAAATGGACAACTGCTTCGGGAAAACCTTGATCTGCTTGCCGAAGTCAGAGAAGAAGCTCGGCTTCGAACTCTTGTATACAAGCAGAAGCTAGCCAACTTCTACAATAAACGGGTCCGCCCTCGCACATTCAAAATAGGAGACCTTGTTCTCAGAAAAGCTGGCCTAATGGGGTTTGAAACTCGTTTTGGCAAACTTGCCCCAAATTGGGAAGGTCCTTATGCCGTGGCAGAAGTGCCACATCCTGGTGCCTATATTCTCCAAGACGCTGAAGGAAAAAGAGTTCCTAGAGTCTGGAATGTCAATAACTTGAAGAAATTTTACCTCTAATGAAATTCTTCCAAGCAATCTATGTCTTACTGTTCTTTATGCTTCTCACTTCGTGTTTGTTAAGATTGATTTTATCTCTTTTTCCATGTATCCGAGGTCAATTAGTACTTAAACCTCACTTCTGATTAATAAAAGTTACTTCACATGTAAAGTACTTTATTTCCTTTTAAGATCGTTCACAATGATATACTCATTCCTAATCTACATGGAAGTTATTTACTTCTTCTTTCCCCTTAGTTCATTTTTGAAATGGTTGCCTTTCATCCAAATCACAATCTCAGTTCTTTTATTAATAAAAAATAATACCAAAAATGTAAAGCAAATATAAACAAACACATAATTTCAAATATAAATTTTCATTTCAATTAAAATAACGATTACAAGCTATAAATGTCTTTACAAAAAATTAAAAAATAAAATTAGTTCTCTGCTGGAGGAGGTGGCACCATTGGCTCCTGTTCAGTTGGAAGAGGTTGCTATCTTGGCTGCTGCTCGTCTGGCAGAGGAGGCTGCTCATCGTCGGAGGGAACTGGATGAATCTCCACTTCTGGAACTGGTTGGCTCTCACCCACTTCAGCTCTCTCCACTCCTACCTCCACCTCGTCTTCCTCTACCTCTGCCTCTTCTTCCTCCACTGCCACGAACTCGAAGTCGAACTGTGGAGGAAAAATAGCAAGACCGTCTGCATCATCCTCCCACCTCAGTTTGATTTGAGGACAGAAGTCTGCTGACATGCTCTCACCATCTTCCTCCACTCCTTCTTCTTGCTCGCCGAAGGTGACCTTTGTCACATCCACTTCGGGATATGCAGCCTTCACCTTCTTTCTGCAGTCTGTGAAAGTGATGATGGCAGTGGGCAGCCGGTACAGGTTGATGATGCTGTCAAACGAGCTGGAGCTGATGAAGTTGCTGATGTGCTCCTTCATCCCATTATGCACCAAGGTCTGCACGTTCCTCTTCAGCTCCAGGAAAGCCTCTTTGGTCAGCTTCAGTTCTTGCGCCTGAGCCTCATGCTCGCTTTCAGAGATCTTTCGTTTACTCTCTTCAAAGCTGAGCTTGGTGCTCAGGGAAGACCTCTCTTGTTCCAACTGCCTCATAGTTGGAACCACCTCGTCCAGCGACTCTTGCAGATCTTTATTTTTCTTCTCCAGCTCCTCCTTCTCCTTCTGCAGCTGGTCACACTGCCTCTGCAAGAGTGCGCGCTCCTTGACACTATCCTTGAACTCCTGGGCTAGACCATTCACCCAGCTCGCGCTCTGCAAATCAAAGCAGAAATTAAAAGAGAAAGAAGAGAAGAACAAACAGAATAAATAAACAGCGGCACTAACTTAACGTACCTCAAGGACGTGCTTCACAACTGATGCTCCCCCGTACCTCAGAGCTTCCTCCCGCGCGTTGCGCTTGTCCACTTCGGGGAAGGTGCTGTTGATAAACCACCTAGCCCCCATTACGTTCTTCGCCTCGAACAGGCTGCTCTGAGGCACCGTAAGGGAAACAGGGCCCTTCCCTTTACCAGGAGCCCGTACCTCAGCCCCCTCCTCCAACCGTCTGAGCTCGGGGTCCAGCTCAACAGGAGGAGGCTGAGGTACAAACTCAGGAACCCCACTCCCCTTTTCCTCCTCCACCACCCTCTGCTTCTTCTGCAGTGCCCTCCTCTCCTCCCAGCCCTTCCTCTTCAGCGCTGGCACATCCTCCTCCGTCTCAGCTGAAGCCAAAGGCACCACCTCTTTCCCAGTCCTCCCCTCATCCACTTTCTTAGTTGAAGTCTTTGACTTCTTCCTTGGCTTCTTAGGGATGGGCGCTCCTCCAGCAGTGCTTAGAAATTGGTCCATTTGAGCTACAAAGCAAGAAACACAATATTAGTCACAATTTTATATTCTACAATTAACGCTACAGTGCATATTAAACAAACCTTCACTTAGAGCGCTTGGCCCATAGAGCTCAGCAGCTTCTATACATGCTGCGCTGGTGAGGTCCATGATATTCAATTCCTCCCCCCTTTTCCTCACCAACTTCCTCACTTCTTCCTCCTCATCCCCATTCAAGCTAAACCTATTCTGGTTGGCCCTTTTGGCCTTCCAGGAAGCTAACGCCCTCACCTCGGCATCCCCATTCCCCCACTCCGTATCATCCACAAAAAAGAACTTTTCCTTCCATCCCTTAATGGATGAAGGACCCGCAGTAAATAAAATCCTACTCTCCTTCTTAGCTACCCTAGGAGTGAAATAATACCACCCCTTATCCCTCCTACTTCCCCCCTTCAAAACAAAAAAATACTTAAACATATTTACAGTTGGCACACTGATCCCCTAAGCTCGGCAATAAACTAAAAAATCTATTATTACCCTCATTGCGTTGGGGACCAACTGTGTCAACCCTATATTGTAATCTAACAGTAAACCTATTAGCAACTCAGAAAGTGGAAACCTGAGTCCCGTTATCAAATAGTGGGAATACACAGGCATCCAGTGATCCCGAGGAGCAGAGCACGCCCTCTCCTCTACCCCAGCTGGCCTAACTAACACTCGAGATGAAATCTCGTAATTCTCTACCAAGTGACCCAGGCTATCCCTGGTCCTTAACTCAAACCTGTACTGTTTCACTTCCTCCACTATCTCTGCATTCATATCATACTCACCCTCTCCTCTACCCTCTACTTCTACTACAGTAATGGGTATGCTATCTCCCCCAACTCCTACAACCTCATTTTCCCTAACCTCAACCCCCTCATCTCCCCCAACCTCCACCACCTTATCCTCTCTCACCCCTTCGACCGTCTTCTCCGAACTAGATGGAGACGGACTACTCTCTGAGTCCATGCTCCCATAGTCCAGGGGCATCACCTCACTCCCTACTACACTTCCTGTCCCTTCTGAAGACATTTTCTCAAACTCTGCATGAAGTAGGGGGGAGGAATGAAGTCAG